GGGGTTTTTTTTTAAAAAAAAAAAAAAAAAAAAAAAAAAAATCTTAGTGAAGACCCTGAAATAGAAGGCTGAAAAGCAGCAAAGAAAATGATTTAGAAAATCTAAATGTCTAGAGTCTTACTGCTTTAAAAAAACTGTGTGAGGTGCAATATCTTTATTAAACAATAATGATTAAAAAGATGTGAGACCATGTTTTTGTATGTTAAAACACTGAAAGCAAATGCAGCACTGATATAACTTTGAGCCAGTCATGGGACTTACAGTTTAGATCTTTTATCCTGTGTAATACTATGCAACATCTAAAGAGATGTATTAGCATCTGAAATTGACCATAAGCAATAGGCAGCCTTACTTTAAAGAAAAATCATGCCCTACATTCAGAATTCACAATTAAATTTAAACACTTTGATATCATGGTGGGGCTAGGAACCCCAGCCCTGGGGTGGAGAAAGACCTTGTTCCTCCAGACTGAGTACTTGTGAAATGCGTAATAGCAAATGGTCCCTGTCACAAGCAGCATCCCATCAAAGTGTAAGATTAGAGGGGTGTGGAGTACCTCAAGCACCTGACATTCAGACTAGCTGACTACACACACTTTCACCTGGGCTAAACATTGGCTGGAAGAGCTGTAACCAAAGGGTGGTAATAAATGCTGATATATTGACGGATGAGGAGGTATCTTGTGGGTACTACCAGGATTGTTGTTAGACTTGAGTATTTTAAGAGGGAGGTGGATAACGCACTTACTACACTCCTAGATAATACTGACTATGGAGTCAAGTGATCCAGGTAGTTCAAGTCAGATCTATAGCTTGCTAAGAAAGAAACAAGGAAAACTTAAGCTGGCGGTTGAACAGAATATTCTGTATGAAGCCAGCCTCCCAAGGAAAGGTGATGGAAGTTCCATCAATAGCAGGCTGCATAAAACCTTCCAGAATATATTGTAGGAAAAAATCCCTCATTGGAATTTGGGGGGCAGGACTCTTTCCTGTGATCCTTTGATAACTCCTGGGTTAACTTGCAATAGTAGCAGGCTGATTGGAGAGCAGTGGAAGGTGGGAGACCATTTTTTCCCTCCATTTTTTCCCCTATTTCTTTTGTTGTTGAATCTTGCTTCCTGCTGAAAATCTGTTACTTTTACTTTGGAAAATGATATCCTTCCCCACCGGACATAATAGGTATGCAACCTTCTTCCACCTTTGTGAAGAAACAAGTTTCCTGCAGGTCTTGTCTTTGTTTATAAATCAGTACTTGTCCTAGGACCTCTGAGATGCAGTCAGCATCTATTTTGGGTAGCAGACACTACCTGCCCTTGAAAGAGAGGGTTTATTCTCAGCTTTGGTAGTGTTTTGAGTTCAAAACAGTAAAGCCTCTGCCACAATTGAAGATTCCCCCTTTCTGCTCCTCAGTTGGCCCCTTCCCACCCTTTCTCTTGCAACTGTGACACTGTCTTTGGAAGTGGAAGATGGATCCCCATGCTGCCCCTCCTCTTGCCAAGAAGCAAACATCCCTTTGAGACCTAAATTTTCAGTCTACTGGATTGTTTGTCTTATGTGCGTTGGGGAGGCAGTTTAGCTGTTTTTCTTTGAGTATTGTGGAGGACAGAATACAGAATTGCATTTCTCCAAGCTCTCCTTCCTTAGGTTCAGAGTTGTGCCACAGAAGACTTCATTCCCTGGGAGCTATAGGTTGGGATTATGTGGGATAACATGAATTGTGGTTTCCTGCCCACTAAATTTTTTGAGCCAGATTGGTTCCAAGAGCCTCACCTATAGAAGCCAGTACTCATCCTACTGCTCTCTTTTATGCTTGCTCCTAATCTGTAGTCTTACTTGGACTACAGTAAACCTTGGGCTGCCCTCAGGATTGCCAGACTGAAGTCCCATCTCATCTACAGCGTACCCAGCTGAACTGGCTGAGGCAGCCGTGGTGCACTGCAGCCCTGTGTATAAGCTCCTTATTAGGGCAAGGAGAGCCCAGAACACCAGTCATAGCA